TTGTTATTGTTATTGTTATTGTTATTGTTATTGTTATTGTTATTGTTATTATTATTATTATTATTATTTTTAATTTTGTAATTTATTAACTTCTTTCGTTTAGGGTCCAGACTTATCATCTAGTTCCCGTACAATTCATATATTATTAGAACAATTTGTCAGTAAAACATTTTAACAACAAATTAATACAAGTATTTTACATGGAGTGAACAAATAAATTCCGATTTGTGTATATATATATATATATAGATATATATATAAACAATATATATATATAGATATATATAAAGTTTTATTTATGAATCTCTATCTTGTTTCTTTTATTTCTGCACACACTTGTTGATTGTCAATCCGATCTAATATTTTACATATTTTATATTTTACTTGATGACTTAACATAGTTATTTGTATATGATGCAAATTTCACAGAAAGTATTCTATCATTAATCAATTTGGTTTATGAATTTAAATCTAGTTTCTTTATTTTATTGACGATAGAGTTCTACGCACACTGTTGTTGGTTTGTTTATTTGCAGCCATGATTTTATTTTGTTGTTAAAGTCTTTGTGGTTGGTTTTGGGGTATTTAATATCATTGAGTATCTGGTTGTATAGTTTAGGTATCATGTACTTAAGAGCTCTTTTTTCGTAACTGTTGTATGTTAATGGTATTTGGTACTTTGGATTTCTTGTTTTGTACCCTTGTACCTATTTGGTGCATCAATTTTGAATTTATTAGCATTATTGTTCCGCATCTCAGTAATGATTCGATTAGAGAGGTGTATATAATTTTTAAAATTTGTTCATTTACAAAAATCTGAATTGAATACATAAATCCAGCTATCATTTTTACTTTGTTGAACAGGTAATTTGTGTGCAATGTATCTCAATTACTCATCCCCAACAACTTCTAGATACGAGTAATGTGTTGCATTGTCAATCTAATGTGATGCATTTATCACTTCATCCAATGGTTGTGGATTGATAATCATGAAGAGTTAATTTTCCTAATTTTAAGGTTTTTACGTTTTTTCGGTGTTTTGAAATGAAGTACTTTGGTTTCCACAGGATTAGCATACAAGTTGTTTTCATATGACCATTTAACAATGTTGTTAAATTCTGTTCGTAGTTAGTTTTTGCACTTGTTTATATCGCTGTTGGAGTAAAAAAGAGCAGCATCATCTGCATACAGGTAATTTTTGCAATTTTCTATGTTTTTAAATTTGTTGTTGGCATATATTAAAATTAGCACTGGCAATAAACAACTTCCTTGTGGTTCAATTGTGGTACTCCATGTCTGATAGTTTAAGGATGACTTAAGATATTGTTAATTTTGACTAATATTTTTCTATGCTCTAGATAGCTTTTAAACAATATTTAAAACCGATCATCAATGCCTATGTCTTGCAGTCTCTTCATCATAATTGTGTGACTAACACTGTCAAATGCCTTGGAGCAGTCAATGAATATTGCCATTATTTTTTTCCTGTATCAAGATTATTATTTATGTAATCTGTGACTTGAATCAGAGCTTGTTCTGTTCCCATACCTTAATGGAATCCATATTGGTTTGTATGTATTATATGGTTATCATTCATATGCTGATTGAGTTTTAGTATTCATCATTAGTATGCATCTGCATTGCTCCTAATATCTATTGTTCTTATTCCATCATTCCTGGAGCTTTTTTGATGATAATTTTCTTCTTTATAATTTTGATTAAATCTTTTCATCTGTAAAAGGTAAATAAAAGCTGCAACCGGTTGTTTCTTCACGATAATCCATCATTTGGTTATTGTTGCTAGAGTTAACCGTTACATTGCTTTCTGTTATGTTTTGTATTTGTTGAATGAAATGGTCTGCAAACTAATTTTTATCAATTCTGAAGCGGCTTCCAAATGCCATCGGCAATTTCTCATCAATATTTTTATCTGTCTTCCTATTTATCATGTTGTTCACAACTCCTTCCATATTCGATGGCAATCGTTTTCTTTGATTTATCGGCCATGATATTGTTTCTTATCATTTCTTATTTTATCGTTGACTTTGTTTCTGTATTGTTTATAGTGTCTTTTATACGTTTCATTGTTGGGGTTAGACTTCTATTTCTTGAATAATCTGTCCCTTTCTTTTAGAATATGTATTAGTTTATATCACCCTTTTTTATTAATGTTACTATTTGTAGAGTTATTATGAAGACTTTTTTGTATTGGTTTGGTACATCTCTTATATTGTATGTTGTTTTAAAAATGTTCACAATATTCTCTAGAAATTTTTCTGCATTTGCATCTTCATATTCATTCCAATTATGGTTCCTGATGATGTATTCGATTGATTTGTTATCATATATTTTAACAGTAGTGTTCTTGACGCCTCTACTCATTTTTAAGATGTTTATCTCTTTGGGATTATATTGAATGACTATTGGATAATGATCAGAAATTTTGTATTTAAGAGTGGCAGACCAAAATCCTTAACTTGCGATCTTACAAAGATGTGGTCGATTATGGAGCTGCATACTATTCCTTCTCTGATTTCCTCTCTTGTGAAGTCTTCTGTAGCGTTCACAAACCCATTACTATATAGATGTAGCTCATACTCGTTTACTGTTTTGTTTCTTTCTATTATATTATCAGCAAGGATTAGACGTCTTGGTCTGTTTCGTCTCAGAATTGTTCATGCCATCTCTTCAAGGGACGTCCTACACTTCTTTTTCCTTTAGGTACACATTGAAGAATAATTTTGCTTATTCTATGTTCTGGCATTCTCAGGACATGACCTTTACAGTTTTGTCGATATTTCTTTGTGGTATCTATAACATGCTCAATATTTAGTTCTTCTCTGATATCTACACTTTTTTGTGATCTAATAGTGAATATCCTGACACAAAACGAAGACATCTCATTTCTGCAGATTCAATTTGGCGCAGCTGATCACTTAATGTCCAGCTCTCACTTCCATAAAGTAGTAGTGGCAACGCAATAACTTTGTAAAGTCTGAGAAGAGTTTCTTTTTGCGTATTCTGCTGTAGAATTCGCTGTAACGTTCCACAGAAATATGTGAAGTTGTTCAGCTTTATTTCCATATCCCTTGATTTTATGTAATTAAAATGATATTCAAGATATTTAAATTCATTAATTTGTTCAAGTATTTGGTCATATATAACTATCTTTGTTCTTAAAGGTTCAAGTCCTTTAAATGCCATCACTTTTGTTTTACTTGGTGAGATTTTCATACCATACTCATTAGCAACCAGACTTAACTTGTGTACTGCTATTTGAATTTCATATTCAGATTTTCCTATAATAAGCTGGTCGTCGGCAAAAAGTAATGTTGTGATATCGGCATTATTAATCTTAAAAATATCATTTAAAGTCATCAATCATTTTTTTAATGATCAAGTGTATTATATATATATATATATATATATATATATATATATA